TACTTTCTGAAGCTTCTAACAATAAATGCACATTACTTTTGGAAAGAAAACAAAAATGTAGAAAGAAAGATTAAGTCCTAAAATCATTCAGGAGTGGTCAACAGTCTTGAAAGGAAACTCCCCAAGGATATGAGAAAACCATTGTTCTCGTGCTCAGACAGGGGAGTCATTGTACAGTAAACACTGGAGAATAATTAGGGCTGCAATCAGGTGGAGGGACGAGCAGGTGAGGCAGCAGTAACCACAGCTGAACACGTCGTGGGGAGGCCAGGATCGCCACTCTGTGTTTGGGAAATACAGCCACACGGTTTCTACTTAGTCTGGCTACCAAGTAAGAATTTTACAAACATTAACTATATGCCTGTTTTTCCACTTTAAAAATGAAAGTAATAATACTTTTTCTTTTGATCATTGGCCTTCTATCAGGCCTTTTTGTAGCACGGCTCATTCTCTGAGGTGAGGGGAGGGTTAACAGTGGTATGTATTTATAGGACTTTGCCCAGCCTGGTTTGTGGAAATGATTCAATGTGCCTGAACAAATAGAGAAATTGAGTCACCTCCCTAGGCTAGTATACCTTTTCCTTCTTCTAACATTCAATATTTTTGTGTGTGAAACGCCTTGGTCAATTTAGATACATTTTAATAACTGCAGTTAAAGAAGACAGCTAGGTTTTTCTGGAGCTAGATTTCATGTTACTTCCTGGGATCCCTCAATCTCTCTCACCCTCTCTCTCTCATGCACACACACACTCACACACACACTCGCACAACACATACGCACACATTTTCCTATTATACAGCAATTAAAAAGAAAAAAACTGTGGCTGTGTGAGACAACATTGGATGACTCACAAATAATGAAAACTGGAACCAACGCCCCGCCCCACCCCCAACTGTGAGGACACAATTCCTGACGTAAACTCAACTAATGTAGTTAAATCTTTAAAACAAAGAAAGGAGTACCTTTGTGCAACATTTCACACACACGTTTTGTACAGGAGCAACACTACGCTTCTCCCAAGAGCTGCTGTTTCAAGATACCTACATTCACTAGCTGTGTCCTGCAACCGCAGACTCTGTGTCAAGCACTCCACTTGCTCCTCATTCTCACCACACCCCTCTCTGTTGCCT